TCTTCACTATTCATTATTTGCCAAATAATAAAATTTTGTGTTAATATATTCCCATTGATTAGAGTTTCGGGAAATTAAGCCAATTCTACGAAAAAAAACTAATTGAAAAATTTTAGTCATTTATCAAAATTATTTGACGAGAAAATATATACATTATATATTTGGCACTCTTTTGGAAAAACGAATTGTTATTATTAATTAAAAATTGTGAAAATAATTTCAAAACGAAATGGGAATTCCTATACGCCATTCAACATAGCGTTTCATTTCCCCCCTTTTGACACTAATTTTACCATTAATTTGAGTACAAAACAAAAATATCTCATTTGATTTCTCTGTCTACGTGTATAGATGTGCCACAACTATCGCTCCGATTGGGCAGTAAATTACGGCACTCACACATCCAGGAGGGTAACGATGTTTACTTCGAGTGCAATATACGGGCCGCGCCGTGGGTTACAGAGATTAGGTGGTGGTTTGAGGGCAAAGAGATCCACACCAACACATCGGCGGGTGTTATCGTCAGCAACCAATCGCTAGTACTTCAACGCGTCCAACGGCTACAGAGAGGACGCTATACCTGCAGTGCTGTCAACACTGAAGGCGAGGGCGAAAGCAATTCAGTGCACCTCAGAGTACAATACGCGCCCGTCTGTAAGCCAGGTATGTCTCGTAACACTCATTACATGTATAGTAATAAATCGTGTTATTCTTGTTGTTGTTGTTGTTTTTGTTGGCAACACAACCAAAACTTTGCTTTCATTTATTATTAGCCGAAAACAAATTGTTTTTGATGTTTTCCAATCTCACCAGTAATTTATGTCTAAATTATACGAAACGAAAAAAATGTAAACTAATTGTTGATGTTTTGTTAGGCCAAAAGATACTGTACGGCGCGGCCAGACATGAATCGGTGAAAATCTACTGCGAGGTTGAGGCCGATCCGCCCGAAGTGAACTTCCGGTGGGGTTTCAACTCGTCGGGCGAGCAAATGGAGATCATGAACCACGTGACAGAGGGCTCGACCAGTGTGGCCACGTATATGCCTCGCACTGAGTTTGATTACGGGGCCCTTTTCTGTTGGGCTCGCAATTCCGTGGGCACACAACTAGAGCCGTGCACTTTCACTATCATACCCGCGGGTCCGCCCGATTCGGTGAAGAACTGCACTGTAATGAATGTGACGGAAGACTCAATCAAAGTAGACTGCGTGGAGGGCTATGACGGCGGACTCCTTCAGCACTTTATACTTGAGATTCACGACACGATTCAACATAAACTGAAGGCCAACATCAGTAACGCGTGGCCGTCGTTCACAGCCAAACGTCTTCCGTCGGGCAGTAGTTTCCTGATTGTCATATACGCGGCCAACACTAAGGGCCGATCCAAAGGGGTCGCTCTCACGGCCACCACATTATCACTGCCAGAATCCATGAATAGATTGGGCAGAGGTATGCAATTCTTGTCATTTTTTGTTTGTTATGAAAACAATATTTTTTTTGCACATAACATCCGTTAGTCTCGTAACACATATTTTATGTTTTCATTTCTCATATAAGAATCGAAAAGATTAGCAAAATATGTGTTAATATATATCTATCAGACGAGACGTGTGTTTGTGTGAAATATCTTTCGCTCAATGATATCATTCTTATCTGTATTTTGTGTATTTTTTTCTTCCTCTTTCTGTCCATTCAACGCTCAGGCAATGTCTGGCAATTAAGTTTCAGTCCAGTGCTGGCCGTACTAATAGCCATAGTGTTCGCACTCGTCGTCATTGCCTTTGTTATCGTAATCGTTATGAAGTTTAAGTCCAGTTCTGCTCGACTTCGCAATGAAAGAGGTAAGCAATGAATGCACACAACAGACCAACAATTCACACATTTTTGGCTCAAATAACTACTAATACTGTAACTAACGGCTCAAACATTAAATGAGTATAGATTTTGCTCCAAAATCTTCAAATTCTTATCACTTTCACTGATTCTTAGACTTTATTCTCGAAGAATTCTCTGGCGTTATGTCTGTAGGAAATAACGATTTCAATATCATATTGTATTCAAAGAAATATTTATTCTATGATTATATAATATTTGAATGCAAATATGGGTTTACTTAACGAAACCGATAAACTGTGTATAAACTTATTTTTTCTTTATTTGAAACATTTTAACATCAAAATAGACAAACATTTGATATTTTGAATGAATGCTATAATAGAGTGTATTTCAAGTGACATTCGTTTATCAAAAATTTCCTGTTTTATAGCCTCAGGACATATGAGAGTCGAAAAAGATTTTGACTATTTTTTTCTCTCTGACTCTCTCATACATTCGTAAACCACTTCAACATAAAAAGTAAAATTTGGCAAAAAATGGAGAAAAATATATATCTGTAACACCTTTTGATACGATTTAAAACTCATCAACGGATACGACATTCATATTTGAAAATCAAAGCCATCTTATCTTTAATGTAAACGACAGACTATAAGAAAATCGATACCTTTCTTATAGTCTGAACGCAAACATTGGCTTACAATACATTTTTCTTACTTTTATTTTGTATATATATTTTTCTTTTCATATTTATTAACACAAAAATGAAAACACTGTAAAGAATTGTGATTTCAGTCAGTTTTTCAGACATAACTTTCTGAATGCAAACATTTTCGGAGAAAATATTTCCACTATTTTTTGTTGGAAAATATTTTTCCGTTTGAGTTGCAAATAAATTAATTAAATTTATTTTTTACTTTGAATCCAATTTTGATAATATGGGAAATATTTACAAACAGTTTAATAAATTGTTGGTAAAACATATACTATAAGTGAAGGAATAGTAAATATAGAAATCGGTTGAAACGACTCACAGAAACTGTTTTTTCTTGTTTTTGCCGTTTAGTTAATTAATCGAAAGTAAATAAGACATCAAAACTCGCTTTATATTCTCACACGACTAACATATGTGTGAATTTCATTGATTTTAAATATAAGTTTCCATCAATTTGAGGCTAAAATACACTTTTGATACTTATTTGCGAAACACTATTTCATACAATTTCTTATATAATAGCAAAAAACCGTAATATGAAAGACAAGACAACTATCGCTATAAGAAAGAGCGTGGATGAGATTTGCGATGTGTGCACTTGTGGGGGTGACCAGGATGATAAATGCCCAGATATTATTCCAGGTAATTTACTTGGACCTAAACCGCATTATCAGCTCATATGAAACCAAAGATTTCATGTTATTTCTGCTTATTTGAGGGGAAATCGAGAGAAATATTGCATTATTTTTATGTATAAAAATATTGGTTAAACATTTTTTGCACTATTTATGTGTTGTATAGTATATGCAAATGCATTTGCCTTTATATTCAGCGCTCTTTTAAGCAATTTATTGGAAAACAATTTGCAAATAGAGTTTCAAAGTTTGTATTTTATTTCGTGTTATTTTATTTTTGTTTTATATGCAATCCATTCTTCAATATTTCTTGTATTATTCATAAAAATATATTTGCATTTATTATTTACCAATATTTAGAAATTTGTTTACAAAAATATATTTATGAGTTTATCTGTTGGCTATTTCTTTACCCGAAATGATCTGTAGATATAATAAGAAAGGGTCGGGAAATGGGAATACAATTTGAAAATCTATTTGCAAAGAATTTCCTGATTATATATGTATGTGATGTATACCACTATAATGTACATAATGTAATGCATGTGTGATGTATGCAATGTTTGTACACATTTTTTGCACTTTATATCGGAAGACCACTTTTTGTGAATCTTTTGTTTTTTATATTTTATTCATGAATTAATTTCATTAAATTATGAATTATTTCGTATAATATTTTCGTTGCGCATATATTTATGGCACCAAATTTTAATCATGATTAATTTGCTTGAATGACCAAATATTATTTTTTCTTTCCATTATATTTTCGGACATTTCTCACTATTTCTCTCAATTATTCACATTATAATTTTCTGCTAATTTGAACTCAAATAACTTATTTTCTCATTTGAATACCAAAATGCAAAGAATATACTTTACATCAATCAATAACCACATGATATGTGTTGCGATATTAACAATGATTTTTGTTCTGCACTTTCTATGGATAGACATTAGTTTAGCGTCGAGTGAAGCGATCACAAGAAACAGCGAAATCGATGCGATTTGAGCGAAAAGTGCAACCATTCACTCACAACGCCGTTAACCGCCGGTTATGGTAATGGCGTTAACGGAGCCGCCGATGGTATTCATCACCACAATAACCAGCACCAGACCAGCCACTGGCGGGCATCGCCGCCACCCTCTCCACCCCCTAACCACAGAACGGTTTGTCTCACTCTCTCCTCTCTCTTGTTGTGTACACTTTTTTTTCTACGCCAACAACTGAACCAATTAAATGAGATGACAAACACACACACTCTGTCTCCTCTGTCTCTCTCTCTCTCTCCCCGAAACCCATAGTCTAGTCTAACAGTACATAAACGTTCACTGAGATAGAGATGTGCCCCAAGAGATCCGAGAGATATGCGTCCAAAACCCTACAGTATTTCACATATTCTTTGTATAAATGAAAACGTTTTGTCTCTCTTTTGAGTTCCGTTTTTTGTTTGTTTCGTTTGACTAATACTTTATATCCATTTTTTGCAAAACCTATTCTCATGTTCATTCATATAGAAAGTATGTACACATAGTCTTCAGTGTATTTCATACAAACAGTGTATTGTTCTTCACTTTTTGGATCAATTTTTTATTATTTCACAAGAGATACAAACAATACTTTATATTCATTTTTATTTCAATTTATTTCTTTTTATCTTTTTTTTGAGAAACAAAATATCTTTTCTTTGCAAATGCTATCCAAAAAGTATTCTCTAACAGAATATAAGAGAATCAGTCATATATTATGTGAGCAATAATTTTCACAATTGTTTTATAATAAGAAGAATAATTGAGTTTCAATCGATTCAGTCGTTTATTTGATGATATATTTGGAGGAATTAGTAGAGAATAGAAAGATATAAATCTTGTTATGTTTAGTGCAAAGCTTTCAAATTCTTGTGAATTGAAAAATTAATATCTCTTTTTATTTTGTCGTTTTAATCTCGAAAAATATTTATTTGTCAATCCTTTTCTCGCAATAAAACACTTCGCGAAACGCTTTAATTCAATGAAAGGGGGATTTCTTATGTGAAATTTATATGAGAAATACAACGACTTGAATGAAATTTATTTTTTATCACTTTTAGTTGCATTCAATCAATTTCTGCTCCAATTTCAAAATGAAAGCAAAAAATGTGTTAAAAGCAGAATCAATAAGAAATCAAACAATGTTTTCATTGAATTTCTTTTAAAGTCTAATGTAAGCCAAAAGAGTAAAGATTTAAAAGTAAACGAAAAAAATTAAATAAAATCTCGGATTATATTCTGTTTGTTGTCAAACAACGGATAGAGAAAAATATAATTTATTGCTTTAATTACTGCAAAGCTTTGGATCACTTCTCTCTCACTCTCTTCTCCAGCACTTTCTTCAAACCAATCAATAATTACTAATCTTGTGTTTGGAGTCATTAATATTTTTATCTTATTTTCCTTTCATATATAACTTATGTCTTATAATACTTTTCTCTTTCTTTCTTCTGTCTGACAATACTTATTGTGTTCGCAAAACACACTCTGTTTCTGACTCTCTCCTGGATTTCCATTCAATTCTGTGATAACCGATGAAAATATAGTTAAAGAATTCATCGTATGTTGAAATGCCATTACAAGTGCCTTCAAATTGTATATCAAGTTCATCACAACAGCAACAACAAGGACTAAATCCCAATTATATTGTAGCCAATTGTCCGCCACATCCAGTGTTTAGTACATTACAGCACCCGAGAAGGGTTCGGGTGTTACCCCCGCACGCCATCAGATCCAACGATGACATCAATACACACCAACACACAGATGTCTGATAGAGTCATCGCAATCTACAAAAACAATTATCGTTTCATGTGTATCATATTAGACCACTTTTAGTCCACTAAAAGCCATAAATCATACGAAAACCTATATTTTCAAACCGACTCTACTATCCATTTATAACCAAATGAGAAGTATATTCAAGATTTTATATTCAAATTCAATGGCTTTGCTGTGAATGACATTTAGATTTTTTTGTTAACCAATTAGTTGTCGCGCTTTTATAATGCTTTTCAGCCAAACAACCAAACCATCCCTTTTTGTGATGCACTCCTCAACCCTTTTTAATTCTGTGTATTTTTTGTTAATTTATTCATTAGATTTTGTGATACAAATTTACCACAAGTTTATAAAAAAAACATCAAAACCAGTGCTCAGTTTATATACAGAAAAGTAGTGAAAATGACAGCAGTCTTACAGACCTGATTCCAGAAGATTGACCTCTCGTTTCTCGCCAATAGTTTTCCCCGACTTTAACCATCAATTGATAGCAAAACAATTTATAGCCAAAAAAGTTTGTGTTTTAAGCATTCATTGCTTATTTCCATAAAATTTTATTTTGGCTCCAGATATGAGTTTTTGTATTGAATTGTAAGTAAAACAAAAGAGAGGGATAGATATTTGGCTTATAACATGCCATTAGATTGAGTTATTTTTGGGAAATAATTGCCAATACCTGGAGTTGACAAACACAATACACGACAATTCATTTATTATGATAAATATGTATTGTATTTGCAATAAATGGTCAAACTATTGATCGGTTGAAGGTTTAGTGAAATGAGTTGTAGTTTTACAATACTGTGTGTCTCAAGCGAAACAACGGGACCGACAAAAAAAAGTATATATGAATGAATTGACATGAGTTGTCAAAACCATATGGACTACTAGTTTATCCCCGAAGTGCTGAATGAATGGCTATTGTTTTGAATTTAGTTTTCATATTATTATTAACTGTTTGCCGATTGAAGCGCTCGACTCGAAAAGCCCAGCGTTTATACCGATATCACAAAAACCTTTCGCTATTAAAACCATAACTGGCTTTCGTTTTCCTATTTTAAGATTTAATTTTATGGCTTTATTTTTTTTCTATTCCTTTTCTCCCATTTCTTTGCTTTCCTATTGTTTTATTTGTGTGTATTTTTATTTGTTTCTATATATCGCTGCAAATAATAAACTTAATATAACATTATTATTATTTCAAAAGTAAGCCTTAAATTTATACTTTATTTTTGTTTTTCTACTTATATTTTCAGCCAATTCTGTGAAGTCATTGTTTCCAATCATTATCTTTGCCTCATTTTCACGAATATAATGATTGCTCTCTTCTTTTGCGTTCAAAACGAGTGCAGAAAAAATGTTTTTATATTTTATTTGTGCACAAAATACAAGACTTCTCCACAACTGAAGCCGTCATTGGATAACATCTGATAATTCATCAAAAAGTTTGTGCTCTTCGACGCAAATACAGTGTTATAAATGTGTATAAAATGAATGATTGAAACATAAACTCAAATTGAATTTTATATAATTATAAAAAGATATATAAATATTATATATAAACCGCAAAATAAAATATGAATTTTATTATTACTTAAAACGGAAGAAAATGAAACTTTTTTCAATAAAATTTTTTATATTTAATTAAATGTGAATAAATAAATAAAACAAAATAATAAATAAATTCATTCATCAAAATCAATGTTATTATAAATTCGTAAAATTACACACATTTTTTATAATGAATTGTAAATATAAATCATTCATAAAAATAAAATAAAATCAATTGATGGACAGAAGAAACACAAAAAATTATATAAATAAATAAAATTGTATTAATATTTAAGAACTTAATGTACAGAATATTATATAAAAATATTGAATTATTGGATAACAGAATAAATTTGTCAATTCTAGTGATTTCGTAACAAATATTTTTTCGTCAATTTTATAATAAATAAAAAGTGTATAAAAATGATAATTTATTTACTGCAATGTCTACAAAGTTTAGTTATCTTTTTAATTTCATGCCTTATTCGGGCGTTTAATTCAATTAATAATGAGTTTTTGTTTCAAAACAAATTAAACCCAAATTACGATAATGTGGATAATGTGCGAGCGTTTAATCGTTATATCGTTATAACGTTATGGCATTCAAACAAAACTACTTTCAATAATTACTTTTAATTTTTACTTTAAAAGCATTTTTAAACGCTGTGTTATGTTTATCATTGCATCGAGAGATTGATTTCGAGAAATTTTTGAAAAATTAATTTTTTTTCACTTGCATTACATGTTGTGTTCAGTAGTTATCAAAGAGGAATGAAAATGAGAAATAATTTGAATCATTGATGCGAAACAACTAAAAAGTTTTGTAAATTTTATTAATTACTGGTGGAGAACGTGAGACTCAGATTTATTTCTATACCCATTGCCTAACGTTATAGCGATTTTCGCCTGTATTTTGTGCTCAAAAATACTTGTTTCACGTTTTAATACCAAAAACATTAATTAACGACTCATTAATAGTTACATTAACTTAATTCTTATATTTAACTACAATATACATAGCGTTCACTACACCAGCATTTGTAGGCATTTTTTGGCAAAAAAAAACGCAAAAATTATTATTATTTCACAAATTTCTAGTAATATAAGAGTCAGTCATTCGTGTAAATAAATTAATGAATTGAAAGCAAAAGCCTTTACTGTATTTTATATACAATACTATTTCTGTTACAATAGACTAAATTACTAAACATTGAGAATAGTTATAGAAATTAAGTTATTAAATATGAGAGTCAAGTCAAGTGGCGATTATTTTTCATTTGATCATCATTTGTATACCAGTGGCGCAAAACAGCGCACAATTAAATGGTTTGCAAATTTAATATGTATTTTGCATTTTCATTATTTATTTCGTATATATTTATAAAAATTTATTAAAATGAATTTCAGACGACTTCTAAAATTAAATGAAAACTTTTCTTTTAAACGCAAATTTCATTTTTATTCACAGCGGAGTTGATATGAGTTTACATGTATTTGATTATCAGATTATTTGCGCAAAACTATTAAATTTAAAATATTTGATTTCTGAAATCAATTTGAAACATTAATTTTTGATTATGTCATTCAAATGCTTGTATATTAATAGAAATTTTACTAAAGATGCATATGGTTATTTTAATAGTGACATTTTTACAACAAATAATTAATATCAGTGTAATTGAGTGCCAAAATTGTATATTAGAGTGAAAACATTGTTTTATAAAATATTCATTCAAACATTTGTTTTGATTCGTATACTTATTATATACTGAAGTAATCATTGGTATAACAAAGTGTCTATAATATGAAAATACTTTGTTTTATAACTTTAGGCGTTAATCTGTGAATAGGAAACACTATATAATGATCTGAGAATCACACGATAGACTGGGAAAACAGTTTTTTGTATTTTAGCGATTGATTTATTTAATTCGTATCTGAATTATATATATTTGGTTCACTTCTCCGGCCCTGTATTTCACGACAACACTTACCTATTGATGGCCTGTTTTCGTGTCCTTAAACTTGATATTATTCGTAGAAAATAACATTTATTTGGCGGAGAATATTAATTTAATGCCGAGTAATGAAAAGTTTGATACATTTTTTAGGGGACTCTTTATCACTTAGTTATTGCATGCAATACATAGTTATCCTATACTTAAAATTATTAATATATTGTATGAAAATGTTTACCAAATGCTATTCAGTAAGGCTTTGAAATTGGATGTATCCCTTGTTCAGCTCTCTCTCTCTCTCTCTCTCTCTCTCTCTCTCTCCTATTGACGGGTATTATCTAACAAGACGTGGAGAGAAAGAGCAGTAAATCTAACCAAACAAAAGGCATACACACATTGGGACACCGGGAGGACGGGTAGGGTATCAGTAGCTGTCAGTTATTGTATCGCCGGACCAGACAATAGGGTAAAAAGTCATTGGATGTCATATAGTATGACATCTTCTTCTTGAATCCATGTCTTATTCACCAGAAAAGTCTCCCTCTCTTTCAATATAACACAAATAGACCGTATATTCGGACATAAAAACACTGTTATGGCCGCAAATGGTGTGCATAAATAAATGTATCAGTGACATTTGGTCACTCTCAATAGTGAACAACAATAATAATAATGATAATAATAATTTTTGAAACATGTCGGTAGTTATAGCCGGGGGTTGGTTTTTGTTCGGGGACAGTTTTTATTGCCGCCGATCTGTTTGTCCCATTGTTTGTGTGTTACATGTTATGTAAGGAAAATAATGTAGGTAAATTTTTTGTTGTTAGCCCATAGACAATCTTATCATGTGCATTTTTCAGATCTCCAATTCAAGTATTGTGTCACAGTTTCTCTCTCTCTCTCTCTCTCTCTCTCTCTCTCTCTCTCTCTCTCTCTCTCTCGTGGAAACTTTGGTTTTGCAGAAAATAGTTTTAGTGATAATAAAAATCATGGATTCATATCCACTGTAACCGACGAATTGACTAAATTTTTGGTCAAATTTGTTTTTAAGATTAAGAAAGTGGTGCAGCCGTACGACAGGCCACAGGCATAGCACAGGCAGAGCACAGGCAGAGATCAGCCCAGACTTGTCTTTATAAATGGCATCGTATTCTCTATCTAAGCAAATGAGTGAATGCCAGGTGACGAACAAATCTATTTGTTATGTGTTATGGCGCTAATAGCACACTATATTCACTGCTGTACACTATATGCCAGTTCACTGTATAACAGAATATACACAGTCTTGCAAAGTATGGCACTCTTCCACTGACGAGTCAGGGATCCTATGTTTACCTTACGGACCAAATGCAGAATTCACTATAACTTGCTTTCCATTATAAAAAGGACAGAAGAGAATCACTCGAGAGAGAGAGAGAGAGAGAGAGAGATTTGTATTAAATGATAGGTTTGCAGAAAAAATAATCTGAAATGCATTTTAATCA